TGTAATGGTACCTCATTGTGGTTTTGATTTGCATTTCTCTGATAATGAGTGATGTTGAGCATCTTTTCATGTGTTTGTTAGCCATCTGTATGTCTTCTTTGGAGAAATGTCTGTTTAGATCCTTGGCCCATTTTTTGATTGGGTCATTTATTTTTCTGGAATTGAGCTGCAGGAGTTGCTTGTATTTTTTGAGATTAATCTTTTGTCTCTTTCTTCATTTGCTATTATTTTCTCCCATTCTGAAGGCTATCTTTTCACCTTCCTTAGAGTTTCCTTTGTTGTGCAAAAGCTTTTGAGTTTCATTAGGTCCCATTTGTTTATTTTTGCTTTTATTTCCAATATTCTGGGAGGTGGGTCATAGAACATGGACCTTTAATGCCTATGGTGAAGATTGGGATTAAGTTTTCCTACTTAGGGAGAGAAAACCCAGGTACCACTGACTTGATTACAATTAAGGAAAAGAGGCTGAGAAATCTTCCTCTTTGGTCCCCCTTCCCCAATAGTCAGGGCCGTGTCACTGAAGACGGAAGGTAGAAAGGATATTGTGTGACAGTCGTCAGTGTCTGCCCTCTTCCTGGCAGGGTTCCCCGAGGGTGAGAGAGAATATATGTCAAATGCCTGAGTACAGTAGATGCTTGATAAATAAGCAGTCTGTTCTTATTTTACAGTAACTTGTGGATAGGAATTCTACATGGCAATAGGGAAGGATTGGGTTAGACTAGAGTCTCCTTAAGACTATAGGTGAGATAGAATATGAATTTTAATTTCTATTAATTGGAAATAATAGGAAGAGCATTTTAAAGTAGAATAAGGGTAAATAGGAAGATAATGATATTTCCATTTGTTGAGGTTATGTGCCAGACACTGTATTTAGTGTTTGGCCTGTGTTTTCTCTTTCAGTTCCCACAAACACCTTATGATATAAATGGCTTTATTTTACTCTACTTTACAAATGAAAAAAGAAAAAAGAGAGAGAGAGAGACCTTGGACAGTTTGCAGTCAGGTAACTACTGATGGTTCAATTCAGGATTTACATGGAGGATGACAGACTTTGAAGCCTACGGTTCTAAGTGTTAGGCTGTATGAACAAACCACTCATATGCAATGTGTATTTGCTGAACTCTTACTTTATTTCAGGCATTATTCTGGGGATATCACGGTGAATAACATACACAAGATATTTGTTTCAACAAATGGATATCCAAGCTGAGGAAATAAAAAGTGAGTAAGTGAAACTATTAATGAACAAAATAATTGCAAGCAGGGACAAATCCCATGAAGGAAAGAGCAAACAGAAGATGACATTTTTGGGAAGGGTTGGTTCTTTAGACAGGGTGATCCAGGAGGGCTACTCTGAGCCAAGAACAGAATGGGAAGAAGAAGCCAAACAGAGAAGGATTTGGAGGAAAGGGATTCAGGGAGAGGGAGCAGCCTGTCCCAGGGGCATGCACCTGGCTTGTTTGAGGAGAACCTGAACTTGGCTCAAGGATGATGACCTAAGGGTGAAGTTCCTCCAGCAGCATCCTGACCTTTAGTCATTACAGAGAAAAGATGGCAGATTTACAGTTTGGTGGAAGGGAGGAGGGTGCTGAGGAAACGAGTCTGGAGAGCTCGTTGAACAAGCAAGGGGCTGTGTGTTCTTGTGTTTAGGACTTTTGTCTATCAGCTGGAGTGTTGGGTCATCATCAACCCACATGACGAGGAGACGAGGAGGGGCACGCCTGCACTGGTCCCAGGTGGCCCAAATGCTTTGTCTCATTAGTAAGAGAGGCATAGGTATATTCTCGGTGTTCTTTTCCTTTTTCCAGGTTGGATAAGAGTCTGTGGATGCTGTGGAGCTTGAGAGGATGGGGGAGAGAGGTTAGCAGTCACCACTGACAGTTGGCCATGTCCTGAGTGCCTCACGCAGCGTGAAGGTGGAAGTGGTGGGGGAAGGCTCAGAACCCCAGCTTCTGCAAAACCAAGTGAAGGCTGGACACACCTGGCGATGCTGTACGGGGAATAAAAACATCCTGTGTCTGCTCCAGCATCGATCCTTGAGCGTTGGGCTAGGCAGTTCAGGAACTGTGTGGTGGAGTTTTTGCTTCGCATACTGGATTTAGACAGCTGGGTGCACCCTGGGTTGGGAACCCGGGACCAGGGCGTGTGGTGGGAGAGAAGACGTGGCTCAGGAAAGAGCCCAGAACTGTCCTCAGAAGACCTGCGTTCAGCCGGGCTCAGCAGCATTTTATGCAAACTTGGCACACAACAATGGAAAGGTTTGCAAGAGACAGTTGAGAATAAAAAGTGGGCAAGATTTAGGGATGTGGGAGGTATCAGTTCTGGATGCTAGAGAGGGTGATGGGACAGAAGGAAACTGGTCAGGAAGGGCAACTGCTTTTAAAAAGGCTGAGTTATCAACACTATTGAAGCACCAGGTAGCATTATGAGTTTGGGGAAAGAGTCAGGGGATATAGATGAAGCTTTGGGAATCCCGTGGTGGGAATTTCAGGTCAACAATAAAGACTTTTGCAGCTAGTAAGCCTCAGAGGACAGTTAAATCAAGCCCCTGAGGTGATGGCTTACTAACCTACAGCTCTTGTCAGCTCTGAAAAGCTGAACAGGGTCAGTTCTGGTTCTGGCAGAAGGACCTGCTGCTTTGTGTGTGTCGGGGGAATACGAGGGCACTGCGGGAGGGGGCCGCTCAGCTCTCTGCAGCCGTGCGGGAAAGTCACTGCTCCTTTTAGTGCCCCCACCCCCACTCAGGCGCTGACCCCTCAACCCTCTTGCAGCCCATTTTTCTTGAGTGCTAAAAGATGGAAGACAGACAATTAAGCCAGAGCCCAAGCACTTCATCTGCTGTTAGTTTCCTTAATTGTATTTCCTACACATTCTTTTATAAATAGATTTAAGCAAGACACTATGTTCTTTAATGTGTGCATTTCTGTTGCTATGGAAACAGTCCCTTTTATCAACTCCCCCTCCCCAAGGCTTAGCCATAAAGTTGAAGTTAGCACCTGTTTTGTTTTTTTTTTCCTAGGCAGGTGAATTATCTGCTAATCCTTGTTTTCTAAGAAGGTTTCTATGAGTGGGTCGACATAACCTGCTGATGACATCTTCTTAAGAAAAGCATCAGCTGAGGGTCTGCGATTTCCAAAAGATACAACCCATCCTTGCTAGCCCTTCAAGTGATAAGCGACTCATTCCATAGATTCATAGGCTGTTGGAACTGGGGAGGGATCTCTAAAGAGATAATCCTCATAATAATGGTAATAATCATTAAAAAACTACCTTGCTCTCTGCATTCAATGTGGCATTTCTAAAGGACTCTTTTAATTAAATCATTTGTTCAAAAACATTTCCTGAACACTAGTATAGATCTGGACTGATCAAGTCTAGGACCCGGGTTTCCTGAATTCCGGTCTGACAGCTTCCTCCCACATCATGCTGATGCTCACACAGGGCTCCTCAAGCCTCTGTAACAGTCCCCTGGGGATTGTGTGAATGTGCAGGTGCTGATTGAATAGGTCTGGGGTGGGATCCAAAAGACTGCATTTGTAACCGTTGCCTGGGTGAAGCTGATGCTGGTCAGGCCATAATTTGATTAATAAAGCTCCAGAACACTATTTTATTTTATATTGAAGCATAGCTGAATTACAATGCTGTGTTAATTATGCTTTACCGTAAAGTGATTCAGTTATACATATATATGTATTCTTTTTTTGATTTTCTTTTCCATTATGATTTATCATAGGACATTGAATATCCTATGCATATTGAATATAGTTCTCTGTGCTGTACAGTAGGACCTTATTGTTTATCCATTCTCTGTAAAAAGCTTACATCTGCTAATCCAACCTCTCACTCCATAACTCTCCCAACACCCTCCCCCTGGGCAATCACCAGTCCGTTCTCTATGTCTGGGATTCCAGAACACTATTCTTAAACTTTGGAGATCCTAGATCCTTTTGAGATCTGATTACAACTAAGGTTATTTGGTTGAGAACAGAAGCTCTGACTATAGCATAACATAGCAACACACAATATGCAATCAATGATATAAAATATCATATCATGGTCTATATGACTTTATATATACATATACAGTTGACCCTGAACAGCGCTGGAGCTGTGGGAGCCGACCTTCCATGCAGTCAAAAATCTGAGTGAAAGGGATCTCCGTGATCCAGCAATGCCCACCACTCTCTTTCTTCTCTCAAGGTTGGCTTTTCAGAGTGTGGCAATGCCACTGCATTTTCTACCTTTGGGTGAGAAACTTGCAATTACTGGAAATTTATGGAAAAAACAATTGACACCCTCCCAGAGCACAGAATGGAATATGTTAAATACAAGGTGCCTCGAATATCATTTGATAAATACACGTGTTGTTACTCAGTTGTGTCCGACTCTTTGTGACCCCATGGACTGTAGCCTATGAGGCTTCTCTGTCCATGGATTTTCCAGGCAAGAGTACTGGAGTGGGCTGCCATTTTCTTCTCCAGGGGATCTTCCCGACCCAGGGATCGAACCCAGGTCTCCTGCATTGCAGGCAGCTGCTTTACCCTCTAAGCCAACAGGGAAGCATAAATACAAGGGCAGAACAAAATTTCAGTTTTGTTAAACATATTTATTAAGCATTCATTATGTCCCAGTCAATCTTCTAGGTGCTAGGGGAATGGCAGCAAAAGAACACCAAAAGTTCTCACAGAATATTCAAGAAGGGCTAGGTAGGCAATAAAATAAAACCTAGGTGTGCTAGTAAGAATGTATAGAAGGTGAAAAGGGCTTCAGAGGAAATAGCATCAGGGAAGAGGGATAGGCAGTACCACTGGTGACAGGAGTTATAAACAGGGTTTTCAGGGAAGAGCTCTCTATCGGAACAGAGTTGAAGGAAGTGGGGGTGGATGCAAAGAGATCTTGGGAAGTGGGTTCCAGGAAGCAGAAATAGGAAGTGCAAAGGCCCCAAGGCAAGAGTTTGGCTAGGGTGTTTGAGTCACAGGCCTGGAAGAACAATAGATGAGAAGGACATGTCATCTGACCGGAAAATGTAGGGCCCCATGGACCTTTAGAAGGACTACGGCTTTGACTTTGAACAAGATAGAATTCCTTTAAATTCTTCAGGCAAAGGAGTGACCTGGTCCAACTTGTGTTTTAACAGGATCACACTGGCTGCTGGGTGAGAGTAAGCTCTAGGGTCAAGCAGAAAGGGTGGGACCATTAGGAAAATCAGTCATCGTCACACAACAAGCAAAGTACATCTTTTCTTTCTCTCACTTGCCCTGGTGCATTTCACCGACAGAGTATCATGGGAACTGGGAAAGACTTCACTGTTGTCAGTGAGTACAGTTTGCTGGGGGGGAGAGAGGTCCTTCCCTCTAGCTGTGCCCCAAATTTCCCAAACAGAGGCAATCAAGATGCATGTTTGCTCCATTAAGATGGACGGTACCCCCAGAGATCTCTCTTAGCTGGAAGATCTAGAATAATCATCCGTCTGGAAGTGTACAGCTGGCAAAGAGCTGAGTGATAGGAAAAAAGAAAAAGAAATGGTGTTTAAATCAGGAGCCATCTCACAAATTGAAATTAGTTAAATTCAGTCAATCGCTGACTGATTTTCTGTTATGGGATTCAAACGCTCTTAGGCTCAGTCAATTGAAACCCGGTTTCAGAATGAGCCAGTTATGGATGGATCTGGTGTTCCATCATTAAAACAAATGGATCTGTTCAGAGCATAACATACATAACACTAAGAGCCTACTTGGTGGATGGACACGCTTGACTTTTTTTTTTAATCCCTGAAGACTTGGAACCAAATTCTGGAGAAAGTCAGAGACATGCAGCTTTTTTTTTTTTTTTGTAGGTAATTAAGAAGTGTTTATTGCAAATTGAAAATCTGCCTTATTTTTTGCTTCCAAATGTTTTCTGTTACATGAGGGTTAAAGTAAGGTAAGAGATTTGTAGATTTTTTTAAGGCAAGTCATCTTAGAACTTGCATGGTTGCCTTATTTTAGTTAATACAGAAATTGAGACTCAACTAGGGCCAGTAAATGGCCCAAGGTAGGCTAACTACTGTAGTGAAGACTCCAGAGATTTTAATGGCTTAATGCATTCAAGTTGTAATTCTCACTCACATCACATCCATTGTGGGCAGGCAGGGCTCTCCTCCACACAGTCCCTCAGGAATTCATATTCTTTTTACCTTGTGGCTCCTCCCTGCTACAAGTCATCAGGGACATCTCTGTTTAGCTGGAGGAAGAGTGTGAGGATCAGGTCAAGAAGGCTTTTATCAGCGGGACATAGGAGTGACACACACCACTTTTGTTCAGATGCCTTTGGCCAGAACTCAGTTCTTCTTTTTTTAGAAAAAGAAATGCATATTTTATTTTGTCCACAAGTCATGTGGGACCTTAGTTCCCTGACCAGGGATCGAACCCACACCCTCTTCATTGGAAATGTGGCATCTTAACCATTGGACTGCCAAGGAAGTCCTTTTCTGGTCTATTTTGCCCAGCGCTTCTCTTCATGCTCACAGAGTTAATATATGATTATTCAAAGTCTAACATGTAAACGTATTAATATAAGGTGAAAAGTGTCCTACTCTTTGCAACACCATGGTCTGTAGCCTGCCAGGCTCCTCTGTCCATGGAATTCTCCAGGCCAGAATACTGGAGTGGGTAGCCTTTCCCTTCTCCAGGGGATCTTCCCAACCCAGGGATTGAACCCAGATCTCCTGCAATGCAGGTGGATTCTTTACCAGCTGAGCCACAAGGGAAGCCCAAGAATACTGGAGTGGGGAGCCTAACCCTTCTCCAGTGGGTCTTCCCAACCCAGGAATCAAACCGGTGTCTCCTGCATTGCAGGCAGATTCTTTACTACCTGAGCTGTGAGGGAAGCCCTCATGCTGTGGAGAGAGGTCTCAGGAGATAAAAGGAGACATATCATTATATCAGATATGTATCATTTGGGAAGATGCAATATAAGGTGCATCTTCCAAATGCTAAGCCAGTCCCCATTGAA